CCACAAGTAGTCAATGTGCATGCAGAGAATAGGAGTGCTCAGTTATAAATGGACATAGACACTCTCGAGGCAGAGGCAGGCAGATCTCTGTGAGTTCGAGACCAGCCTGGTCTACAGAGAGAGCTCCAGGACAGCCTCCAAAGACACAGAGAAACCCTGTCTCGAAAAAACAAAATAAATAAATGGACATAGAAATCTCGTCATCACCAACACCTCCAAGACCCCAGAATCATCTTAGAAGAAGGGGCAGAAAGATTTTAAGAGTCACAGGTAGTAGCCATCCACAGCAAAGCATTGCTTGTTGGGTATGACAGAGGCAGGGCACACATTAACTCACTTGGCTATGACTGCAAGTGTTAAGACCTGCACTAGGTCAAGCCAACCAAAACCCCAGCATGGCTGTGGGAGTGGTTAATAAGTCCCACTGTCAGCTCCGGGGCTATTGTCAGCTGATGCCTACCAGGGGAAGAAGATTCAGTATTCTTCAGGGATGTGGTCCCAAGAAGCTACCCATGTTCTAACAGACAGCCCCATACCCACGCACGCACAGTCAGCATTAAGTAGACTCAGTGTACTTAACACCACAGCACATGAAGTTAGGAGGGTAAAAGTGTTGGGGGAAATAGGGGAAAAACTGGAGGAGAAGGGAATGGAAGGTGGATTTGATCAAAACATATGCATGTATGAAAAATCCTTGAGTAATAAATCTGGAAGGTCCTTCCTTCTGAGAAAAGGTTCATAGGTGAATATTTGGCATCTATTTTCTGTTATGGAGACTTGGGGCAGGTGGCCTCCTTTGAAGCTTGTGTCAAATTCACAGTCCTCTTGCTATGGTACCCCAAGTGGGGTAGGTACAAAACTCACACCCCTAAAATGTTTAGCAGTTAACAAAAAGGACAACACACTTGCCTTCAGTCTCCTTCCTCCTTCCTCCTTCCTATCATCTTTCCGAGCAGTCAGCCTATTGCAGGCCTGAGGGTTTCATCTGAATACACAAATGGTTTTAGGGTAACTTCAGTGACCACAAAAAGAAAAAACACAAGATACTAGAAACAGGAGCTGGGGAGGTGACTCAGAGACTAAGAGCAATCACTGCTTTTGTAGAGGACCAAGGCTTGGTTATCAGCAGCTACAACATGGCTCTTGACAATCACCTGTAACTCCAGTTCCAGGGTATCCCAACACCTATGGATGCCTACCCACGGATCTCTCTCTCTCTCTCTCTCTCTCTCTCTCTCTCTCTCTCTCTCTCTCTCTCTCTCTCTCTCTCTCTCTCTCTCTCTCTCTCTCTCACTCACACACACACACACACACACACAAGTAAATGATAAACTAGAAGTAGGAAAGTTAACATCAACCCTCTACTCCATCTCAGAAAGACAGACTCTCAAGTCACAGGTGAATGTGCACAATACGGCAGCCATCCTCTCAATTGGCTGTCTGTAGCTACTAACACACAGATTAAAAAAAACTGCAGACTAAAGATAAATGTGACGATATTAAGAAAATGTACAGTGGTGGTGCACACCTTTAATCCCAGCACTGGGGAGGTAGAAGCAGGTGGATCTCTGTGAGTTCGAGGCCAGCCTGGTCTACAAGAGCTAGTTCTAGAACAGCCTCCAAAGCCACAAAGAAACCCTGTCTCAGGGGAAAAAAAAAGAAAATGTACTATCATTTTACTGATAAAATTAAAGAAATTTCACTCAAAATTAACAAGTAGTGAGCTATTTCATGAAAGAAAGTAAAAGAAAAACCCTAAAACCATCTTTAAATCTTAAATGTTACAGTTAAGTAACTTTGTTGTTGCTGAAGCAGTGTCTCAAATGCCCCAGGGAGTTTTTGGCCAACAACCTTGAACTTCATGTCCTCCCCCCTCCACATGCTATGACCACCAGCATACACTCGACACAGGGATGAAATAAAGGCTCTCCTGCATGGGCTACCATGTGAGCTACGCCCCATCCCAAATCATTGAAAAATGTTACAGCATTTTTCCGTCAAAACAATAAAAAAAGAGTCAACTCAAAACTGCCACTTAAAAAGAAAAAAAAGGACCGCTCACAATGCTACTTCCCAAGTTTAGAAAGTCGAGGGAACAGGTCATGGAAATGAAGTTTCACTATTTACAAATACTGTGCTGTTTAAAAGATCCAGGGTCTTCCAAATGTTAGGTTCCACTCGTGTGTCACTGAAACAGTTCTAGCCTATATCAAAATAGAGATGGCTCAGTGAGGGCTTGCCAAGAAAGCCTGAGAGACTGGGTTCTGATTTCAGCCAACAACATAAAAGGCTGTGACACAGTAACTGGGTGGCCAAGCCCCTGGAGATCATCTCAAGCCAATCTGGCCACATCTCTAAATGCCACAGGGACAGAGCCATTAAGAACCTATCTTGAAAAATAGGGTGGAGAGAGACTGAGGAAGACATCCCATTCCATGCATACCAGATGACAAATGTGTGCTCGAACACACAAGACAGACAGATGTTACTAACACACCATGTCCATAAACAAGAAAAGTGTATGCTCCATGCTTGACTAAACATTACAAGTTTTGTTTTTTTCTTTCATTTTCTTTGACTCGGGAGGCCCAGGATGCACTATGCAGAAGGGATGACTTTTGATTTGTGACCCTCTTGTCTCCAATTCCTGAATGCCACAGTATCAGACATGTGTCACTGTGCCCAGTTTTAAATTTATAATTTCCTCTCCCTACACATTTGATCTGTGTATACAAACATGCATCATTTCGCTGTATGCCTGGGGACTACAGACAGGCACTAGAAATGACGGCACACACCACCTCTCCCTGTTTATACAGTGCTAAGGTGTGAACCCAGAACCCCCTGCATGCTAGGAAACCATTCTACCAACTGAACTACATCCCAATAGCCCAATAGCTAAAAATAAATTTTTGGACACTAACAGCTTTCCAGTTGTTTTGTTTTTTTTGTCCTTTGTAAAAAGACTTTCAATTCTCAGGCCTAAGTCCCAGAAAGTGTATCACAAAGCAGAGTTTAATTCCAACAGTTAATCAGAGGAAATACTCTGATCCAAAGCTACTTCTCCGAAGTACTACAACAGTTAAGTTTTGGTCAATTTGCATTTTAGAATGAACTTTAAGTCATAATATACTTTCTTCCTTGTATGAATTTTCAGTGGATCTTTCAGATCTGGGAGTGAAACAGGGTTTTGACAAGTACCATAGCTCATTCTTATGAGAGTTTTAACCAGACTAGTTATGAGTTACAACGGTTCAGGTTTCCTCTTAAAATACCCCTTTACTCAGACTGAAAATACATTTGCTACAGTTCAGCTTACACCGACAGGGTTCTTACAGTCAAACATATACCTCTTTGAAACCTCGGTGGCCTGCTCCCCACCCCAAAACTTGCTACCTGCTCAAGCAACAGTGGCCAGACCTCACTTCTGAAGGCCCCTTATTTCACGCTTCACAGGCTTCTTGGCTCCAAAGAGAAAAAAAGAAAAAACTTTTTTTTTTGGTTTTTCGAGACAGGGTTTCTCTGTTTTGTTTTGGAACCTGTCCTAGAACTTGCTTTGTAGACCAAGCTGGCCTCGAACTCACAGAGATCCGCCTGCCTCTGCCTCCCGAGTACTGGGATTAAAAGCATGAACACAAACGCCCATCGGAAACAATTTTTTAAAAATACACAATTACACTATTAAGAAATAAGGATGAAATAAAATATCCTTAAAAATGTGACCCCAGACTAAATTATTAAAATGAAGTTACAGTTCTAGTTTTAGAGTATCTTCTCAAAGCCACCTGAAGGACAAGACTAAAAATATCCCAAAACACTGCCTTTATCTTTAAAGAAAGACACTCAGACAAACTGAAGTAGGCTGTATCCCTTTCCAGGAACATTAAAGAATGGTGTAAGGACACACTGTACTTGGGGGCCCAAAGGGTTTCAGGGTTTGTTGTTTTTATGACAGACCTTTATGTAACTGCAAAACAGGCAAGTACTTAAAGCCAAATTAAGTAAAATCGGACTTTGTGGACCACCTCTATTTTTGTGAATTAGAATATGAGAAATAGGTATTTTACTTTTTGGAACACTTGGCCTGTCAGGTATAGCACATATCTTTAAAATACACCGGCGAAAACAAAACAAGCCCGACTCTTTCTCCAACAACTTTCCTATGATGTTCGAAACCTGACCTTTTAGCTACGTTAACCCACAGGGAAGACAGAGTATGTGAAGCCACCCTGCTGTAACAGCCACGAAGCAAAGACTCATCTCTGTACAGACAAGCTCAGGAGGGAGAAAAGCTAAATAAAAATGCTGCGTTCAACTGGAGAATCCTAAGATCCATGTTCACCTGTGACGCCGAGAAACTGTCAGCCAGGGGTGACCACCAGAGAGTGACCCCGGTGTAATATTCCAATTCTCTCCTTCAAAAGGCCCCGGGTTCTTACTACCCCCCCCTGCCCCACACCGGGTAGGAATGTCACGCGCAGTCCAACTCTCGAGTAACCTCGGTCTCTCCCTGCCACCTTCAGAAAGGTAAACAAGGACCATGAGCACCTCCATCTACAAATCTGCAATCCTCCTTCGAGGCAGGTGGTCTCTGGCAATTCCCCACGCGAGCACCCCACTGAAGACTTGCACCAAATACTCACTACATCTCCCAGCCTTGCCCCTCGTGGGCACCTCCACGCTTTCCGCTTAAAGAAAGCACTCGCAGACACCCGTGCGTAATCTGGTCACGCGTAGCACCTTCTGGGCTTCCAATTAAGAAGCAGCCCTCCCCAAGCAAGACCAGCAGCCGTGGGAGCCCTTCCTCGGGTATTAAGTGTGGCCTCCCAGGCTGGAGGCACTGGCCCTTTAAAGGCCCTAGCTTCCTGTACACGCGGTCCCTCCCTCCCCGCCGGCTCCCGCCCCGGCCAAGGGTCACACTTGAACTTTTAGGTTGCCCAGTGCCTAAAAGCCGCGGCCGCCCCCTCGCACGCGCCGGACGCCCTACGCGGTGAGTGGGCGCGCTCGACCACCCGCTCCGGCCTCCGGGCACCTCCAGCAGCTGCGGGCCCGCACCTAGCTCGGCCAGCAGCCGCGCGGGTCTTTAGCCAGCCCACGGCAGCCGGAGCCCCAAGGGTGCGTGCGCGTGGAGGGGGACGTCGCCAGGGCCGGGGACACCTTGGCCGCCCAAGGCTGGGAGAGTCGGCGCGCGTGCGGGCGCACAGCAGCCGCCCGAAGCCTCGCAGGTCCGGGGTGGCAGGCGGGGAGCCCTCCCAAGTGATCCCCTGGCCCGACAAGCGGCTAACTTTCGCGCCTGCCCCGGCGTGGCACTCGGTGCCCACACGAGCCCCTCCCGGGTCCCGATTAGAACTCCCCTGGCGTGCACCTGGTCCAGAGTCCTCCAGGTCTCGAGAGGAGCCCCCGCCACACCTGCCACTGCGCGCCCCGCCATTTCCGGGACCCGCAAAGCCACACTTTCGACCCCCACCTCCGGCCCCGGCCCGCGCCACCACGTCCTCCCCCGGGGCCATTCACCTTCCAGCCGGCCGAACTGTTGCTGTCGCCCTTATCCTTGAAGTAGGGCACGCTCTTCACCATCCACTCGTAGATCTGCGACAGGGTGAGCCTCTTCTCGGCCGAGCTCTCGATGGCCTTGGTGATGAGGTCGGCGTACGACAGGTTGCCCCACGCGTTGCGGCGCGACGAGCTGCTCTTGCGCGGCTGTCCCGCGAGCGGTCCCGCGGCGGCGGGGGGCACGGGCGGCGGCTGCGACAGCGGCCCGGCCGGCGGGGGTGGCTGCGGCGGCGCCGGGTGCACGCAGCCCGCCTCGGGGCCCTGGAAGTCCCCGCACAGGGCCCGGGTGGCCGCCGCGGCCGCCACGCAGCCCGGCGCCCGCGCGAAGTCCTCGCTCTCCTCCAGCAGGCTCAGGTTGCTCATGAAGTCGGCGCTGACAGCGGACGCCGAGGCCAGGCTCGCCGCGGCGTCGGGGTTGGTGGCCGCGCCGCCCGACGGCGCCGGGCTCGAGGTGGCCGAGCTGGACGGGTTAAACTCCGGCCTGGGCAGCGGCCAGGTGCAGGAGCGCTGCCGGGGCAGCGGCTCGAAGTCCGGGTCGGTCTCCACCACCTGGGGCGCTTCGGCCATGGTGACCCCCGCCCCTCCCCCAACCGGCCGAGAGCACCGGAGTCGCGGCCCCCGGGGGGCGCGGAGCGGGCGACCCGAGACTGGGGGGGGCCGCGGTCAGCGGACTCCGCACGCCGGAGCGAGGCGCGGGGCGGAGCGGGGGACGGACGGACGGACGCGCCCAGAACTTAACTTCGCCGGGGCCGCCGGGGTCCAGGATCCTCCGAGTTCGTGGCTTGGACGGGACACGGAGCAGGCCGCGGAGCCCGGCGGCTCGGGCGCCACGCTCCTGCTGACAGGGCCGCGGACGCCGAGGGCAGACGGGCGGACGCTCGCTCTCGCTCTCCCCTCTCCCGCGGCCGCGCGACAGCGGCGCTGCTGCCTGTTGAATGTGGCGGCGGCGGCGGGGACTGCAGCGACTCCGCAGCCTCCCGACTTACGGGCTCGGCAGAAGGCTCCCCGCCCGCGGCGGCGCGCGCGCGCCGGCCCGCCCCTGACTGACGGCCCGCGCGGCCAATGGGCGTGCCCCGCCTCCGCCCAGCCGGCCAATGGGCGCGCGCCGGGGCGGGAGCTGCTCTCCCTCGGGAGGCGGCAGGAGGTTGGTGGGGGGTAGCGGGGTGTTTTTCTTTCTCACACACTTCTTCCCCCCCCTTCTTCTTCCTCCAACCTCCGTTATTATTTTCGGTTATCCTCAAGTGTTTCTGAGTCTCTCGCCTCTCGGAGTCCGGGTTGCTCGGAGGCAAGCCGGCGCGGAGGCGGCGACCATACTTTTGTTTACTACGGAGTGCGGGCGAGTGCTGCTCCGAGCCCCGAGCCGGGACCCGAGGGGCGGCGCGGGGCCACTGCGCGCTCCCGGACGCGACGTGGGCGGCGGGGCGCCTCGTGGATTCCACTAAGCCCGCCCCGCCCACGCGTCTTCGGGGAGCTCTGGGGAAGTCGGTGGGGTTTGTTTTGGAGGAATGTTTTCCTGCGCTGGCGTGTGTCCGGGCTGCCTCGGGCGCAGAGATCCCACAGCGCGGAGCGACGGCTCTGCGGCTCCCGGCCCCCCTTCCCACCCTACCCTTGCACACCTGCCAGCTGAGACCCCCGCGGCTCGCCCCAGCCTCCCCCCCCCCCGGCCGCCGGGCATCCTGAACCCAGAAGAGGGAGAAGACGCTGCGGTTTGCACAAGCACCCGGATCTGAAGTCGTCTGCGGGAAACCGCTTTCCTGCCACGGGAATCTCGCTGTCCCCTGAGCACCGGAGTAGTGGCCAAAGGCTTAGGAGAGCGTTTAGAGACAACCTTGCCCCTTTGTCACGCCTAATTAAGTTTCACTGGTTGCTTGTTTCTTTTTATTCAGGATGGAAACCACGAGGTTTTGAGTGAAATCCAAAAAGATGAGACCCAAGTGTTGAGGGGCAGCCACCCCCATCCCCCAACGGGTCCTTTAAGCTTCCTGCTTCGGGTACCTTCAGCCTGCTCCCACCTACACCTCACTGATCCCAGAGCGAGCTCCCAGATCTGGCTGTCTAATACAGGCTCAGCAGGGCCGAAGGTAGAAAGATGATGATTCGTGTCGTCTTCCAGAGCAGAAGAAAACGTTCCCTCGCTTGGTTTTTTTATTTGCTTTCTCTTTTAAAACGAATATGAATGGCATTTTCTTCCAATGAATAGGATGTCTTAGAATTGAAGAATATTAGGGTTTTAAATGTGTTCAAAAAGACAGCTCCTAATTTCCTGTTGCTGTTGTATTTCACTCTTCTTTCTTACGTGGAACTCTATTTAAAAGGGGGCATCTAAAGAAAAAGAGAGCCTTACGAAGGTTAGAATTATGTAGAGGGTTTGTCCCAAGCATCTCTCTATCCCAGGCCCCTATTTCTTCATAATCCCTTTATTGCAATGACTTCTTACTGATCTCACATGGGTAGAGACCCTGAACCGGAAGTGCTGGGGAGGGACAGGTTGGTTGAGGTCTCTTCTCTTCACCTTGCCGGTAAGTTTTGGCAAGTGGGGTCTTTGGCAGCAGCTAGGAGACTTGAGTAAGTCGGTGAGCTTAAAAGGACCACAGAGAACCACCCTTTGCTGCTCCTTCCCTTTATAACCCCGCTGCCGGGATGGGCCCGCGTCCAGAAGCCGCACCCTGCAAACAGGAGTACTAGTGGACCAATCTTGGCGATGGCATCCAGCTGTGATTTTGGCCTTACCCTCATTTTTCTTCCGGTTTCTCCAGGATGAGAGCATTTGGTTAAAGGAGTTTTCCTAACGCTTTCCCAAATCTTCAGATTCTCTAAGACCACTGCCCCCAATTGTTCCTTTAAGTGTCCTAGTATGGGCCAGTAGGTAGAGCAGGGGCTTAGCATGTGTGAAGCCCTGAGTTCAATGCCCAAGACCAAAAGGGAGTCAGAGATCCCGTATTGTCAGTGTCCTAATACAGAGGTCAAAAAAGTGTAAATATGCGCTAAAAGGTTGGTATGGGTGATTATTCTACGCTTGTGTCTAAATGTCAGTTTACTGAAGCATAGAGCATTGCTGAGCCTCTCAGCTGTTTCCTGTCGTTGCCTGGCACTAACTATTCTGTAAAGAAAAACCCGTGTAACTGGCATCTCACATCCTCCCAAGGATGGAGAAGAGTGCAAAAGTAGTCACTGGGAGAGCAGGCGTGTGCTTTGGGAATATCGGAAGGAACAGGTGAGCCCTCCTTGATAAAAGTTATCTCTAGCTACACTTACTTTTCTGATGGCCCTGCAAAATGCTACACTTGAAAGTAAGCTTGGAGATTATCTTTGATCTCCTTTAATTAATAGATCATCAGACAGCACACTTAGAGGGTAGTAAGTCTCTCGATTTCCCATCAATCCCGTCAGTGCATCATGCAGAGAAGTATAAGCATCCTATAATGCCAGTGTATGCATAAACACTGCAGTCTGTGTATGTCCTTCCTGCTAGCCATGTATTGTCAAAATTTTAGTCAAATGGATTCCACCAAGGTGAGTGAAGTTTTGGCTTAAAAGATTAAGAAAGCTGGGCTTGTGACTTAGCCAGGGAGAGTGCCTGCTGAGTGTACAGTGTTGCTCTGGATTCCAGCATAAACTCCCTGTGGCAGCACAAACCAGTAACCCCAGCACTTCAGATGTGGAAGCAGGAAGGTCAGGAGGTGAGTTCAAAACTAGCCTGGGCTACATGAGACCTTGTCCCCACCCCCACCCCCGAAAAAGAGAGAGAAAGAAATGATTAAGAAAATAGAGTGGAAAAAAAAGAAAGATACCACAATAAAAGGTGGTTAGTGAAAGACTGTCAACTTGCCAGGACTAGTGGCTCAGGCCCTCAAGCCTAGCCCTCAGGGAGCCTGAGACAGACAGCTCTCTTGAGTTCCAGGCCAGTCTGTTCTACGTAGTGAGTGTCATGCCAGCTAAGGCTCCACAGGGCTTGTCTCCCAAACAAGTAAAGTAAATGTTTTAGCTGGTGCTAAAGGCCCCAAATCCCAGAAATTCGTATAGCTAGACCAGGAGATTCTCAAGTTTCAGGTCTCCTGGGCTACAGAACGAGATAAAGTCCAGTTAGAATAAGACCCTGTCTCAAGATTAAAAGGGGAGGGGGCCTGGGGAAGCAGCCTAGTGGTACAGATTGCCTAGTGGTAAAGAAGTCCTATGCTTCATCACTAGTATGGGGGGGTGGGTAGAAATAATAGGTGGATAAGATACAGTTATTAGGCTGTGAGTATAGTTCAGTGGTATGTGAACTCAGTGACTCGTGTATGAGACACTGGCTTTGACCCCTGGCACTGCAATAAAATAATATTTGGAATGATATCCTACAGTGCTGGTGATACAACATTTACCAGTTCAGATAGTACTCCTGTCACCTGAAGATGTTGCACCCTTGGCTTAACACAGAGCCCTCAGTTTCAAATTAGGAAATAGGAACACTGAGGAGTTTGATGATTTGCTCAAGTTTTGTGCAGTTCGTAGGGCTGGGTACAAAATCCAAATTTCCTCTTCTTCAGGTCAAGAATATGCTTTCTGTCTTGTTACTATGACATCCCTTTTACCACCTGGGGGCTTTAAAACCATCTAATAAAGTTTAACCTCTTTTAAATAGTAGGCCCTTACACAATTTTTTTAAATAAACAAATTCTGGGCTTCAAACTGCATGCACATTAGAATTTAAATTTTTTATGACATTGAGAACTCATAGTATGGCCATACAATTAATAGCACATGAAACTTCAAATTCTCATAGTGTCACAAATCTGAACTTTGCATTCATTTTGAAACACAATATGTTTTCACTGTTTTATTTCTGTTTCTTGTCATATTAAAGCTCTTACCATGCTCTTCCCCAAAGCGGGACATGTGTATTAAATAAGAAAATGTTGCCATGTAGAACGCAGATGGCAGTACACTTTTGGCACCGAGGAGGTTTAACAAGGCATTTTACTCGGAAAACTTGTGTGCATGAAAACTTGTGTGCATGAATGTTCAAGTTACAAGGTAAGAAATCAATTGCTGCTTTATAATGTGAGTCCATTTTCTTTCCTTTTCTGATCTAACCATCCTATAGCATTCTAGCCTGGCAAGGGGACCAAATGTGATTGCAAACAAATGACTAAGGGCGTCCAGCATAGTAGTAAACGCTTGACTAAAGAAGAAACTACTAGTATTTTCTTTTAACTCTTTTGGTGTGTGTGTGTGTGTGTGTGTGTGTGTGTGTGTGTGTGTGTGTGTGTGTGTGCACTCACAAGCTCACATAACAGGAACTGTGTGGAGGTCAGAGGATGGATAACTTTCTTGATTCCGTTCTCATTCTAGCCTGTAGACCCTGAGGAGATCAAGTTCAGGTCCTCGGGGTTGGTGACAGGAACATTTACTCACTAGTCATGTTGCTGCTGGTCCTACTGCTAGCATTTTTCTAGTAACTAACCATATGGCTTGTCATTTGTTGATTTTAAAAAAAAAAGTAAAAAGAGGTAATACTGGCTGTGTAGATAAGAGTGCCTGTGTTTTTCTATAATGTGGAGATTCCCTGTGTCAAAGAGGGTGTAAAAACCAGGAGACAAGAGATGATCAAATTTCAGGGCCTGGAGGAATGGCTCAGAGATTGAGAGAACCAAGTGCTCTACCAGAGGACCACATGGTGGCTCACAACTAACGATATGTAAGTCTAGTTTCAGGGGATCCGACGCCCTCTGCTGGCCTCTGCCGTTACTAGGCATGAACATGCCGAGGAGACGTGTAGGCAAAACACGCATATACATTTTAAAAATTTTTTTATTTTTATTAGAAACAAGCTTGCTTCACATGTCAATCCCAGCTCCCTCTCCCTCCCTTCCTCCCTCCCACCAGCCCCCCACCAATCCCCACTCCATTTCCCAGGGAGGGTGTGGCTCTCCCTGGGGGATCTCCAGAGTCTGTCATTTCATCCAGGGCAGGGCCTAGGCCCTCCCGCCAAGAGTCCAGGCTGATGGGCACCCAAAAATATACATTTAAAACATTATTTTAAAGAGACAGGGGAAAAAGACATTATAAAGTATTGGATTTAGCTGGCTCAAAGGGTCCACTCTTATGTAGCGGAGGGTGACCTTGAACTCCTGGTACTTCCACCTCCAGCTCCTGAGAATGTGGGGAATACAGGGTTCATGCTGCCCTGAGGTTTAACATTTAAAATGGAATTTCTAATTAGCAGATGCCTGAGAGAAGTGCCTGGAAAGAAACCAATTTGTCTCCAGAGATGCCATATGTACTTTAAATAATCTTATGTTTCAACAACAAACTGAAAACAGGAGTTTTTAGTTATGCTGCATATTTGAGCTCTAGAAGACTCCAACTTGGAAAAACTCTGCAATCTATAACTAAGCTCCACTGGAGTCTTCCTTCTGGTTTTCCAATCTGTGTATCGCCTGAAACAGGAAAATTTATCGTATGATATGGCTAAGGGTGTCAGGGGGCTAAGGCCCCCACTCAGACTATCACCCTTCTCCCCAAACTGAAATAAATAATATAGATGTATACGTGTGCATGTCTTGTTTCTAAATGTTCTAGGTCTAGATCTTAAATCATCAGCCATCATATACATAGGAAGCTTGTGGTGTATAGAGCTGGTATAGCACTGAGCTAACATACATGAGACCCTTATTTGGACTCTAACCAAAAGAGGAAATACCTACATACATCTAAAACACATATATTTAATCTGTCTAAATAAAAACTATATTTTCAACAGTAACTACAGACCTTGCACTCTATCGTGGGTTTTTTGTTGTTATTGGTGTTTTTGTTTTGTTTTGTTTTTTGAGACAGGGCCTCACTGTGCACCCTTGGCCTGGAACTCACAGAGATGTGCAACTACACCTGTTGTACAGCTATCTTTTGAATAAATCATGCAAATCACGAAGTAAAGCAAGGATGGATATGTTTTATCTTTACAGAAATGACCACTCAGGTACTCGTTTCCTTACAGGTTTATCTTAGAAGCTGGTCTAAGTACAGTCACATTTGACTGCAACTAACTGTTCTCCAAGTTCAGAGTTCACCTGTTTCATGCCGTACTTTCTTAATCCATGGTTCAAAATGATTCTCCTAGAAAATTTACACTTGGAAAAATTGAGACAGTGTCTCAAGCCTGTAATCCCAACCCCTGAGAGGCTCGGAACAGATTGTAGCAAGTTCAGGGCCAGTCGGGGTTACATCGGCTCCAGGATACATGGAGTACAAAGGGGAGGGGGGAGGGGTACAGTGTGACATTGGATAACATTTGAGATTTCCTTCCTCCTTTTGATCACTATTAGCAGTCAGCTCTGCTTACAAACCAGTTCAAGGAGCTGGAAAGACAGCTCAGTGGTTAAGAACACTTGCTGCTCTTCCAATAGGACATGGGTTCAGTTCCCGCACTCACAACTGCCTATGTATGCTGCCCAGTGAGCATAATATCGCTCCTACTTTTAAAGGAAAACTTACTTATGGGATGGGATTAGACATCTGTGCTCCTAGTTTCCATTAAACATGCACCGACCCCACCCCATCCGCCATTCCCATTCCACCCTACTTCATCCCACCTCTACCTTACCCCACCCCATCCTGCCCCACCCTCCCCCGAGGGCGGGGCAGGGGAAGCACACTGACAACCGGCAACTTACTATTTACCTGCAGCTCCAGTTCCAGGTGATCGGCTGCCATCTTCTGGTATTTTTGAGTACTGCATGCATTTGGTCCACACACACGTGAGCACAAACACCCATACACATAAAATAAACAGATCTTTTTTAAAAAAGAAAAGTAATTGTTTATGTTAGTAAAAGATTAGAAACAATTAAATTAGCAACAGTAATGATGATTTTGCATTTGCATACAGAAATAAAGTAGGGTCTATCTAGCCATTAGCACTTGGCTGTTGGGACAGCTTCGGTCACCGGCTCTTCATGAAGGGTTGGTTGACTTATCTGAGGTCCTTCCCGACTTTCTTCATCCTGAATCAAACTGAGTTCTATTGGCACCAGAGAGTGATTACTATTGCATTTTTTAAATAGAAAGACATCCTTCCTCCTGAGTTCCACAAGTGTGGGGTTAGAACCATGGAAGACTATCCTACAATCCACACAATGGGCCTTGTTCCATTTACTCTATCTCTGTTGGAATCTGATGATAAGTTCTCTTAAATGGGGCGGCCTAGGAGTGGCCTTCCAAGCCTAAGTTCACAGGGTGGATCCTGTCCTGTAAAGGATACATCTTGTCCTATGGCAAAAGGTTGAGCCTACTTTTGCCAATTTCAAAGATTAATTTAAAGAGGGTGGACTTAATAGTGCAGGTCACGTGTTTGAATTGTCCATAGTGTTGAGGTCAGCGGCTCAGTGGAGTTTCCAGGTTACGTTTAAGACCTTACTGACCATTTCAGTCACTGAAGAGAGATTCAAGTGTGGTGGTGGTGGTGGTGGTGGTTTTTCGTTTTTGTTGTCCTGCAGTCAATAGACCTCTCTTATAAATCACAGCATGGACATGAAGGGGACAATGGCAAACCTTCTGTTTGTATAAACGTTTACATGTTTGTCCGTTCCCTGTGTAGGACTTGAGGGAGAGCCTTTTGCGGGCATGACGTGCCCCGTGGCAAGCCTTGTGCCCATATGGTAGCCCACCGGGTAGTCACTGTTGCTCTGGCTCTCCTGCGTCCATCGACAACCTGTCTATTTCCGTCCCTAAACTTATTGGCCTCTGCCTCGGGCAAAGGAGTGCCCTGAGCTCTGGGAGACTGGCCTGAGAAACATCCAGCAAGTCCTGACAGTCATGGAAGGGACCTCAGGGTTGCCATCAGGCACCAATATGTCGGGGTTGAGGCTCTGTATAGCAACAAGGTGAGACTCTGATATTGATGCAGACAATTGACATCCACAGCCATTTGCCCCTGTCAGGGTGTTTTCCACAGCATGGGGAGCCCTTGAAGTCAGGTCCTGGCCTGGGCCAGGGTGAATGTGTCAGATTCTCTTCCCAGTACAGTGGCTGCAACTATGGTATGCAGACAGGATTGCCAAACGGAGGCCACAGGGTCCACACTTAGACAGATTTGCTAGAGGCTCCACCAAGATCCCAGGGTCTGAGTCAAAGCCTTTGCAGTACCTCCTCTCTCTCTCTCTCTCTCTCTCTCTCTCTCTCTTCCCCCTCTCTCTGTGCCTCTCTGTCTCTGTCTCTCCTCTCTCTCTGTCTCTCTCTCTTCCTCCTCTCTCTGTGTCTCTCTGTCTCTGTCTCTCTGTCTCTCCTCTCTCCCCCTCTCTCTCTGTCTGTCTCTCTCTTCCCTCTGTCTCTGTCTCTGCTCTGTCTCTGTCTCTGTCTCTGTCTCTCTCTCTCACACACACACACACACACACACACACACACACACACACACACACACGGAAAGGTGGGATGGTTTAGTGACACCTGGGAGGGCTGGGCTCTGGTTGAAGTTTCCTTCAGTTTCTGGAAAGCTCGTTCCTCTGTTTCAGTCCATTTTAAAGGCTGCCTTCCCACAGTTGCAGAGTAAAGGGTTTGGGCTATCTCTGCAAAGCCAGGAATCCAGAACCTGAGATATCCCAGCACCCCAGAAATCTCACACCTGCTTTTTTGGCTTGAGGGTAGCTTCCTTTGGGGGCAGCATTGAGAGTCTCCTACCTTGAGCAAGCTGGGATCCATGTAGTAAAGCTGAGTTCCCCTACTACTCATGTAGTAGTTCCTCATGGAGACATGATCTCCCGATGTGGGGAGCGGCTGAGGGAAGGCCTCTGTGTCTTTCAAGCGGGTGACAGTGACAGCTGCTTCCAGTAGAAGGTTATCTACATACTGGAGCAGAGTGGGGTCAGGGTGTGACACCGGAAGCCTGTTAAGTTCTGAATTCTTGGGGCGGCCATGTCCAGGTTAGCTGGCTAGTCTCACTGGACATTGGATCAGTCTATTTCAAGGCAAATACGAGCTGGCCCACTGACCTTGAGGGAATGGAGAAGGAAGGTCCAGGACTCTGTAGACCCGGTGGTCTGCTGGGAAGAGACCGAG